GGGGGGGGGGGGGAACCAATTGAATTAATCAACTTGGAGAAAATGCAAACAGAACCAAAAAGAAAAAAGAGAGAGATATTGTCTTTGATCTGTATTGGAAGACATATAATATCCAAAGAGAGACAAAATAAATATCAACCTTTAAGTATTTTTAGATGGAAGTTCAACATAAGCGTCGGGCACTGACATTTTCCATCAATTAGTCAAGCATGTAATTGACTATCAATAGTCAGGAAGAAATCTCATCTCCCACCCGAGCAAATGTTTAAGCTTCCAAACGAAGGCAGTGACATTAGACCAAGTTAGTTATAATTGCTAGGTATCAACTTGGCATATTGACATCACTACAGACTGATAACCATGTGATAACATTTTTAAAAGACTTCCTTCATAGCTGCTTCTTTTATACATTAAAATTATCACACGGCATGAATCTGGATATTTAGTGGTGGCAACTGCTTTTTTATATCAGAATCTCCATAAGCTATCAGAGTACATAATGTAAAAGTTTCCGGAAAAGAGAGCAATAGCAATTCCATAAGTAAAAGATACACAGTAGTATCAAGATATGAGTCCTTGCCTTGTGTCCATTAGCATTGCAGTGCTCTACTATATGGCGGGTTCCATATGCAATGCCCTGTACTGTCGCAAGGTAGAGAAGTGCCAGCTGCTTTTCACTAGTGTCAAGCGTTAAACCAGAAATCATCCCTTTTGATTTCGGGTCTGCAACTGGGGACCTTAATAGAAATTTTGCGTTATTTTAGAGCAGATAGTTAGGGAATCGAGGTGAAAAACTTATTAATAATTCTTCATCAATATACCTGTTACCATGAAAATCTGGAAGAATATGCATATCCTTGGTCAATGCAGATATTAATTGTGACCCCTCATCTTGCTTCATTGATTCCAATATCTCATTCAACAAGTCAAATATTGAGATTCCTAGCAGAGAATAGACGTTAACTGTAAGGAGAAGACGACCACAAAAAAAAAAAAAAAAAAAAAAAAAAAAAAAAAAAAAAAAAGGAAATAGCAAAAAGCAAATTGCAAAGGAGTCAAGTGTAACTAAGAACAGTACTTTGACAATGAGCACCAGATATATTTTCATAAATGACACATCAAGGTCATCTTACTTCGAGATGCAGCACGATTTGCAAGATGTGGAGATGCAATGTGATTTTCAATTACATAGTCTAGCAATGCACCAGTGGCACTCTGTCCTCCTTCAGTGAGCCAGTACTCAGGCACCATTGCTGAAAATATTGCAAAGACCAAAATGACAAAACATCATTTGCTTTGTAACAAAAGCAATAGCATACGCTGATAAAATATGGGAAACCCTCCTAGAATAATGCTTCAACTAAATGCAGAACCTAATATATAATCATAAGTAATTCTTATACAGCTTGTCAGCATTAATAATATCATTTCGACTATGCATATGCATGCAACCCCTAAATCTTGATAACTATCTTCCCTTCTTTTCTTTTTCTTTTTTTTTTTTGAAGAAGGTAAGCATAAATTTTGATAGTTATCATTTCCATCATTTGAACAAAATGGTTTGAAGGAACAGAGGTACATTGCAAAGTGGAGGTGTACCTGACCAGAAAGGTCCCCAAACTCCAGGTATGAATAACTTTGTCCTGGATACAGCCATGTGGCATGTGGAAGTACCACATACGAGCACCATACGCCTACTTATAGCATCCTCATCGACTTTCAAAAATACAGTAATACTCCATCGATAAGTAAATCTAGTCGACAATATATGTGAAGATATTTTAATCATTCAACAGTCCAGAAGATTACTCAATAATAACAACCTATAGATTCAGAATCTGATGCAGGCACACTTTCCATTACACCGACACCACCAGCATGAGCATCTATCAGTGCAGTACCTACTGGTGTCCCAGCCATCAAACCCAATTCCTGAAACATAAGCAGCACCTTAGTAAAATTAACTAAAAAATATGAGGAAAGTAAGGGCACTTATCACCGTCAAAATCCACATCATTAGGAATGATTGTGTCTTTTTCTTCACTTTTGCTAATAATCAACATGCAATGTGATTCTTATGAATTCTTCACCTTTGCAGCATCCAGTGTTAAACCCGAACCCAATGCATGACCAGGGAATGCTACACTTCGGCCTGCACATTTTTAGTTGAAAATCATGATAAGAATAACTAAGCAGCTCTTAAGATCAAAAGATCTTCCACCATACAAGCAACATAAATAAAAAATTGACCCTTTGAGACAATTTGCCTAAACAATTCAAAAGATAATTTTGAAGTGGCAAGTTTGTAAATATCAATCCATAAATAAACTAGAAACAGTAAAAAAAAACCAAAAAAAAGAAAGAGAACAATAAAAAAAGAAAAGAAAGAATTAATAAATGAAGGAAAAGGATGCTATGCAGAAACTACCGCTGTCTGCCAGAAGGCGTATCAGTAAAATGCTGATGGCAACTTAACATAAACTGATGCAGATATTTGTGATTTTTCCTTTCTTTTCTTTTTTTGCGAGAGAAGACCAACCACACACTTTACTAATCCTCAACTAATCCCTAATCTATGAGAGGTGAACTGTATCTGTTCCAGCAACTCATTGCGCAATTTTCAAAGACTTTCAAAAGCCGCACATTGTAGCATGACTTCAGATAAGATTATAAATAGAGATTAAAAAAATTGCAACAGAGTTAGTTCCATGAATTTTTTCCAAGTCATACATTTCGGTAATTTAGATGAAGCTTCAAATATACCTATCTTAGCATGATGTCCATCAACAAGATCACCTAAACCAATCTCCTCCCAGAATTCATCATCCCATCCACAAGCTTCCATATCACGGGAATCTTTCTCATTTATCTGCTGCATATGTGCATGGCCTAGATATGTCCATTTGCAGACGGTGGTGCATAGACTCCTCGTGTCATCTCCTGTTGCTCTAATAAGTTAACAGAATAGATGGAATCACCTTTTCCGGTTTAAAACATCAAAAGCTATGGTTCATGAGCTACTCCTTACTTGTATGTTAACCAATCACTTAGATCCATCCACCTAAATGTCATCGACCAGGATTCTTGGAGATTTTCCTTCACCCACAAGAGCTGTAAAAAGAATGTATCAACAAGTAGTAGATGAAGCATACCAAGATATGATGATCAAGGAAGTAATTAGAAACTTCAACTTTTCCTTTTTCACTTCCTACAGTAAAAAGCAAGGAAGTGTAAACATGTCAAGAGCAAGTCGTATAAACAACACATGCTCATTCGCCAGTATCTGATTCAGAAGGAAAGTACAGGTGTTATCTCTGATACTCATTCACTACTAGGTAAAGAAGGTACGCATGTCATCATCCCCAGTAACATCACTCTTTCCACAGGATTCCAAAAGTATCATTCAGGACCACAAAGAAACAAGTGCATATCCAGAGCTCTACACTAAAAAGAAAATTGTTGACAACCTACAGCTCTTAAATCAGTCTCTTTGACAAGGATCAGAACTTTATTCTATTGCTTCTTACTCTCATAATCATGCACCTTTTTTCTTCAATAGGTTCAGCAAAGGTATAGGCTCGGGGCCTAAAAGCTTCACAATGAACTAGTGCTACCCTTATATCCTAATGCTTGGAAATTACCAAGATAAGAGGGGTAATCCAAAGTGAAAACTTCTACAACTCACCCAATCATCAATAATGTAAGAGTTTAACTACTCTTCCGATGTAATGTACACTATTTGGACATGTTTCACTGGCTTCATCTTATATTGGTATTTTCTGGCATTAAATTATCAGTAAAAAGTTCTAATTCAATACAAATTGAACAGTCAAATGGGATGAGTTCCAAAATGGCTCTAATATAGTGAGATCTAACTCTATAGCACAACTAGTGGAGCTATTTATTTACAGTTACAAAGCCAAAAATATACGAAACCATGGTGCCCTTTTCTTTTACTTATCATCCATGTCGCCCCTCTTAGTTTGAAGTAAAGTTTTTTATCTTTTGACAACTCTTAGATGACGAGAATTACTCACTACAAAGGCTGTGAGAAATAAGAGAAAAGATTTTGAGAATGCTCAGACAACTTGATGAATATGGACAAGACACTCCTTTTTATTGGAGCTAAACTAAGCAATACCTGTTACTTTACAGAATCAAGAATTTCATTCACGAAAAAGATGCTAGATATAAAACAGCAGGCCTCCTACTAGTATATGTACCTTTGGTGGCTCCATCTCGGGGGATACGCCTCCACCACAATACTGCAATACAGGTGAGTTAGAGGCGTTGATCCTCTCAGCTTGTTTTACAGCCCTATGGTCCATCCACACTATGATGTTCCTTCTAGTATCACCACTCCATGAAACCGTGACAGGTTCACCCTCAGAATCAACAGCAACTGCATAGAGGAATCAATCCATCCATGTTATGTACCACCATAATTCTGCACGTATACCTCAATCAACACACTGGACAGATTCACGAAGATGAAAATCAGCAGTTAGTGACTGCATACCAAGAGAACAAGTAGCAGCAAACCCCAGTCCCTTAACTTCTTCCTTGGAAACATTTCCGAGGGAACATGCTGTTTTTACAGCAGTGCAGATTGCTAGCCAAATATCAGTCGAGGATTGCTGGATTTGAAGAACCACATAAATGAAATCAGAAACATAAAGAACAGTTTTCTCATTTCTATCGTCTAAAAACATATTTCGATCAAGTAATATATTGTAATGTGACACAACCACCAAAGGTTGACCAAAAACCATTGAGGGAAATCAACCATATAGACAAAGAAGAAAAGCAAGAACAAGGAATGTCTACTCTTAAAATAGTTATCTTTACTGACAACAGACCTCAACACAGTCACCGTCTTTCCATATCTGTATTGGGCTACTGGCAGAACCTAGAAGCTTCCCCTCCTCATTAAAGAGACCTGCATTAAATTGTAATCTTAACATAAATTACATATAACCAATCAGCATTGAATATAGCAACACAAGCTAGGCATTATACATAGACCAAAAAGCCAACACAATTTTGTTGCTGAAATATGAAAAGGCTTGTATGTTCGAGAGAAAATAAGTAACATTGCAATTCAATGTTCATGCACATAGGAGCAGCTGTTTGGCAACTAAAGCCTCTAATAAGTTACAAATGCTTGCATCTTTAATTTAACGGAAGTGAAAAGTTAATCATCACAAAAAGGCAAATCTTTGAAATGCTCTCTATTGGGAAATGTGCCAAGTTTCTCCTCCTCTCCTCTTTCCCCCCCAAAGCTCCGGCATAGCCTTTTCCGATGAAGCACCTATCTTTGCCTAGCTATGGATCGGGGACTCACTTTTATTTCAAGCGAGAAAACTTTTCAATTAGTTAGTATTAATGAGGAAGTTGATAGATGGCTTGTTATGTAGCAGGAGATTCACAAGCAAGATTAAGATTAACGAGAGCAACCTTCGATGGGTATGTGAAGCTCTGATTCAAGCTTCGCTACAGACTGGTAACAAGTGCATGAGATGGGGAAGGAAGATACAAGCTTATACTTTCAGAGTAATACAAAATTTCAACAGCTATGGGAGGTTTGTCAGAGTCGAATCTATCTTAGGGGAATACAAGGCTGCAATTATTATTCCAGAAAGCAGTTACAATAAAGGATGGGGAGACATAGCAAGGAAGATACAAGGCTATTTAGGGGAATATGTGGATCCAAGATTTTATCTTGCCGACAAATCCAGGTCCTATATGGAAGTTGCTAAGATTTCTCGATGGAAATCAGAAATCAATGTTGCAATAGGGGAAAAGCAGGGTCCAATGGCGGAGGAAATTGATAATGAGACCTTCTTGTCGAAGTGACTCATAGGCCAATTCAACGACCCCTTCAACTTTAGCCCAAACTCGGCGGTGATTCAAAAATGGTTCGCTAGCAGATGGCAGGTCACAGCTGGGCTCAGAATCACACCGATCAGCCATAATCAGTTTATGTTCGAGTTTCCATCCAGGCTAGAGGCAAACAGAGTCATAGCTGGTGATTGGTTTTGGAATGGAAGGAGATTGTCCCTGGAATGGTGGCCTCCGGTGGCCGGAACAGTGATGACAAGGAAAACATCAGAGCATAGATGGCTGAGAGCCTTCGGAATCCCACTCCACGCATGGACTTCAAATACATTCAAATTCATCGGCGACAAGTGTGGCGGTTACGTCGGAATTGATGAGGATACCAAGCATAAAGTGCATCGGTTCTGGGCTCGTATTTGTGTGAATAATAGCAAGAATGAACTTCCAAAAAACCTGGAGTTGATCAAGGAAGACTGGGGCTTCGAAATTTCATTATTAGAAGACCACTTTGCTAAAGTCAGGCCGGTCGGAGCTGCTTCAATTGGCGGAGCAAAAGGGTCACATAGAGTAGCTGGTACCTCGAGCCTTGCACCAAGAGCAGCAGTCACGCACGTGGGAGGAAACCCTAGCAGCCTTAATTTGAAAAAGGATGTACTTGTTAATACAAAGGGTAAGGGTTTAATAATACCAGTGGATAATAAAGGGAGTGGGTCCAATATTAATATTAAAAAATTGGGCTTGGAAGCTGAACAAAGTTATTATAAAAAGGGCCCAAAAAGAAAAGCCCAAGTGAAGGAATCAAAGCTATTAAAAGAAAAGACCATCTGGAGGGTTGTTGGCCACAAGCCCAACCCTTATGTGAATAAGTTTAACGCCTTGGAGGTTCCTTCTCTTGACTCTGAAGAAATTAAGACACATGAGCCCTCCATAGCTCCCCTGCAAGAGCAAAACTCAGACACCAGTCACTCAGATGCAGATGACGAAGCCACTCCACATCCAAGAATCCATAAACCAATCCGGTAAGCAGTTCTGACACAGACTTCTCCTACCAAGCAGTCTACGAAGCTCTGCCATTGACATGGTACGAAGGGGGGGCCAGTCAGCAAATTGATAAACCATCCATTATCGAGACCTCGAAGTGGACTAAAATAACCATGGTTAAGGCATGCAAGGCTTTCGGAATTAATGCGACCGGGTTCGAGCATGATCTCTTAGGTTTAATATTGCGAATGGAGCAAAGGAGACAAGCTCAAATTCAACAGCAGGAGTCACAACAAAAGTCAGGGAAAGGGAAGAAAACTAAAGGAGAAGGGGAAAGAAAGAGGTTACTTTGTGGGATCAACTATGACCGAAAAGGGCAACATAACAGTGGGTCAAGGGGTAGGCACTACAAATCCTTCTCTGGATTAAGCTTAAAATCCTGAGTTGGAATGTGAAGGGGCTGAATGGGGAGGAGAAAAAGAGCACTATTTTATTTTATTTTTTGATGAAGTAAGGGAATTTCATTAAAAGGCATCAAGAAGATCCATAGCAAAAATTACAACATAAAGGTATTGTCTGCTCATATGCAGAAAACTTACGTGACAACTAAGGAGCAGACAAAATCAAGAAATAGTTCAACACTAGTTACAGGGGCCTGATTGAACCAACTAAATAAGTTAATTAAACACGTGGCTTTAAGAGTGTGGTTGGGAGTTGAAATCCCATCAAAACATCTACGGTTCCTTTCATTCCAAATACCCCAAAAAATAGCACCAGATACCATTGACCAAGTCTTTTTGATGGATTTCCCAACTCTCCAAGAACACCAACTCTCATAAGCTTCCTTGATACTATTTGGCATAACCCATGCAAGTCCAAAAACTGATAAAAACATATTCCAAATATCAGTTGCTATTGAACAGTGCAAAAAAAGATGCCTCACACTCTCTGATTCCATCTGGCACATATAACATCTATTCACAGTCGGTATACTTCTTCTGCTAAGATTGTCTTGAGTAAGACAAGCTTCATACAATGTTGTCCACATAAAGCCAGCTACTTTTGTAGGCAGTTGGGTTTTCCATATAAGCTTTCATGGCCATTTGTCGATCAATTTCTTGTTGGAGCATAGATTGTCATATCCTCTTTTGACAGTATAGGTTCTCTCTTTTGATTCACCACATTCCAACCTATCCTGCACCTGGGAATTGACATTAGCACCTGATAATTTATTGAGCAAACCCAACATATCATTCAATTCCCAATCTTGGATGTCCCTTCTGAAATGGAGGGTGGATATCTTAAATCTCTCAATCTGGAGAAAAAGAGCACTATTAAATCTCTCATTCAAAAATGGAGGGTGGATATTCTATGTCTGCAGGAAACAAAGATTGAAGACTGGTCCAACAAATTAACTCAACAATTATGGGGTAACAGGTGGGCTGATTAGGTTGAATTAAACGCAAGTGGAACTAGGGGTGGGATTGTAATGATTTGGGACAAAAGGCAATGGAACAGAATAGACGCTCATTAGGGTTACTACTCCATCTCATGTATGCTTGAAAGCATCCAAGAGGAGTTTAGGCGGTGCTTCACAGGTATTTATGGACCTCACTCTAATCCAGAGAGGGAGGTGGTGTGGAATAAAATTGCAGGTGTGAGGGGATTATGGGAAGGCCTCTGGGTCATAGGAGGTGACTTCAATGTTAGTAGGTTTGTAAGCGAGAGATTGAATTATACCAGAAGATCTAGAGCTATGAGATCATTCTCCGAAATGATACAGGACCTTGATGTCATGGATTTACCCCTTCAAGGAGCTCATTACACCTGGTCGAAAGGTGACAATTACTTACAAGCTTCTAGAATTGATAGGTTTCTTATTTGCCCCGAATGGAATGATTCATTTAAAGATGTGAGGCAAATTGCTCTACCCAAGGTGATCTCAGATCACAGGCCAATTTTATTGGAGAGTGGGGACTGGGATGCAACCCGTTCTTATTTCAAGTTTGAGAACATATGGTTGCAATCTGAAGGTTTCGTTGACAAACTGAAAACTGGTGGCAGAGCTACAGTTTCTCTGGTAGAGCAGACTTCATAATTTTTCAAAAGTTAAAAAGCTTGAAGAAGGATATCACCAGATGGAACAAAGAAGAATTTGGGAAGGTAGAAACCAGGAAAACCAGGGCTCTTGATGACCTAATGGCACTCGAACAAATGACAGAAGGTAGACAACAGACTTTAATCGAGTCCAATCAAATGATGAGCCTGAGAGTGGAGCTTCAACAGCTAGCCAAAGCAGAAGAGATATCGTGGAGGCAGAAATCAAGGTGTCAATGGCTTAAGGAAGGTGACAGAAACACTAAATATTTCCAAAAGATTGCAAACTCACAAAGAAGGAAAAACTGCATAGACAGACTCTTAGTTGGCAATGAAATTATAGAGGACAGGGAGCTTATAAAAGCGGAGATACTGGATTTTTATGGAAAATTATACGAAGAAAAAGGAGAATTGGAGACCCTCTATAAACTTTGAAGACATAGCAACCCTTACAACAGAAGAGAAGAATGGTCTGGAAGCACCTTTTGAGGAAGAGGAGGTACTAATAGCTATACAATCAAGTACACCAGACAAAGCACCAGGACCAGATGGGTTTACTATGGCCTTTTACCAGCACTCTTGGGAATTCATCAAACATGACATCCTCGCAGCCATGAGTCACTACCATCAGCATTGTTGGATGGTCAGGTCATATAATGCTTCTTTCATTGCATTAATCCCAAAGAAAAAAGGGGCTATGGAATTAAGGGACTACAGGCCAATTAGTCTCATCGATAGTGTGTATAAGATCATAGCCAAGGTTTTTGCAGAAAGATTGAAAAGAGTGATGGGGAATCTGGTGTCAAACCAGCAGAATGCATTCATTAAGGGGAGAGATTACAGATGCCTCACTGATAGCAAATGAGGTTCTTGATTGGCAATTGAAGCAAGGGGGTGCAGGTATCCTATGCAAGTTGGACATTGAAAAAGCTTTTGATCAAGTGAATTGGTCATATCTCACTTTTATCCTCAGGCATATGGGATTTGGGGAAAGATGGATCAAATGGTTTAAATTCAACATGTCCACTATCAAATATTCAGTTCTGATTAATGGGAGTCCGGCAGGTTTCTTTTCCCCTCAAAGAGGCTTGAGGCAGGGTGACCCTCTCTCTCCGTTTCTATTCATACTTGCAATGGAAGGACTGAGCAGAATGTTGGACAAAGCAAAGCATATGCAGTGGCTGAATAGCTTTAATGTGGGTAAGACTTGCACAGTCAACATCTCACACTTGCTATACGTTGATGACACCCTGATTTTCTGTGGGGCACACAGAAATCAGGTGCTCTATTTAAATCTAACTCTTCTTCTTTTTGAAGCTGTTTCAGGTTTACACATAAACATGCTCAAAAGTGTGATTTACCCTGTAAATGAGGTACAAAACCTAGAAGAATTGGCAGAAATATTGGGCTGCAACATTGGCACCTTCCCAACTACCTACCTGGGGCTCCCTTTAGGAGCTAAATTCAAATCAGAAGCTGTATGGAGTGGGGTCATTGAAAAGTTTGAGAAGAAGCTTGCTTCCTGGCAGTTGCAGTATTTATCTATGGTTGGCAGACTGACTTTGATCAATAGCGTCCTAGACAGCATCCCCACCTACTATATGTCATTATTTCCAATGAGTAGTAAGGTTTTTAAACAACTTGATAAAATAAGAAGAAATTTTCTATGGGAAGGGAATAGCGGTGATCACAAATTTCACCTGGTCAAGTGGTCTAAAGTTTTATTACCAAAGCACCAAGGTGGACTGGGTATTAAGGATTTAGCTTTACAAAATAATTGCTTATTAATGAAGTGGCTATGGAGGTACACTCAGGAGAATAACTGCCTGTGGGAGGAAGTTGTCAATGCCAAACATGGTGTACAGAACCACTGATGCACTAAACAATCAAGAGCACCACATGGAGTTGGAGTTTGGAAGCATATCTGTAAACTTTGGGAGGAGTTCTCACAGAATATGCACTTTGTAGTTGGGAATGGACATCATATCAAGTTCTGGAAGGATAAGTGGCTAGGCAGCACAGCTTTAATGAATGCCTATCCTGCACTGTACCAGATAGCCAGAGAGCCTGACACAACAATATGCCAGTACAGGGAAGACAACACTTGGAACATAACTTACATAAGGAACCTACAAGATTGGGAATTTGAGGAGTTGCTCAGACTACTGCCACTCTAAATGGCTTCTCAAGCAACCAATTAGCTCCAGACCAACTCATATGGGGAACTACACACGCAGGAAGATACTCAGTGAAAGCAGCCTACAAGTTAGCCGGAACTCATAATGCAATCACTGACCAGTGGCCATGGAAACTAATTTGGAAAGTCAAACTATCACCTAAAGTTATCTGCTTCAATTGGACTGCACTTCATGGAGCTTGCCTAACACAGGATAACTTGGCCAGAAGGAACTTCTCTATGGCTAATAGATGCTTTATGTGCCCGAGGAATGCAGAGTCACACAGTCACCTCTTTCTACATTGCATAGTCGCAGCAGGTCTTTGGAATAT